CGAAAGGAGGTGATGCTCCCAGCAGGGTGTAGTCTGCTAGCAAGGCGGCGATGGAAAGGCACCCCTCGAGACGGTTTGTCTGATGGGCGCCAGGGTAAGCACAGGAGCAGCCTCGGCCCCGTCTCCCCCCGAGCCCAAGCGTGTGGTGCTGGTTTTGTGGGCCGGGTCAGGGGGTACCCTCCCGCCCTGACTGCAGAGGAGTGAGCTGCAGGGTGTGAGCGTGGTTACTCACTGGCCTGTGAGCTGCGAGCTGGGAAAACTGCTTAAAAAAACCCCCAACAACTAGAAAACAAAGACATTTGGGCACTCCCGTCACTGTCCAGAATCGAAATGGAGTTTAACCAGTGGGGGATTTATTTATTTTGAGATTTTTAATTTTCACAAGAATAATGAGCCTTTTTGTGGGCTTCTCTGGCCTTGGCTGACATCCCACCAGTGCAGTTACAAACATAAAGCTGTTCCCTTCACGGGCCGGGAGCACTAGAGGCCTTCGCGGAAGGGAGCGATGTTCTTTCCTGGATGGATGTTGTTCCCTGCAGGATCTTCCACCTCTGGGTCTGGGAAAAGGCCGAGTGGTTCTGGACTAAACTTTGGGATTTGAGCTTAACATATCACTTCCGAAGATAATCCTCTCTCCGTTTCAGCCTCCTGCTTGTCTCTGTGCGTGTGCGACGACCTGGTACTTGAAAACATCGCAACTACTTGACGTGCCGGCCGAGGCTCCGACGGGGCCGGTTTTAAACGGTTTTACCCTCTGCTGACCGCCCTGCCGGAGGCAGATGAATGATTTTCCAGGCTTGGTTCTAGGAGTCTCCTTTTGATGGATCTAGAGATGCCAAGACAGCAATTCAGGACCTGGAAAATGTGAGGTTTGGGGGTTCTTTGGGTTTTGGGTTTTTGGTTTTTTTTCCCGTTAGATTTTGTGCTTCCTACAATGTCATTTGAGACCAGAGAGTTGTTGTTGTTCAGCGATGGGCTAAAAGGTGGTGAAGGCGGGGCGGGAGGGCAGCTCCCTACTGGACTAATACTTGATTCATCAAGCTTCCTACAGGGTAAATATTGAGCAGTTCGCAGTGGGAATAGCGGCCGGGCCCTTCCTTTCAAAGGCACTAGTAACCTTATTTCCGGAGCGGACTTCACCAGCCTCTCTCTCCGGGATGAGCCCTGTGACCTGCGTCAC